AGGAAGACGATGGTGATGAAGATGAGGATGAGGAGGCGCCAGGCTGCAGCTGTGAAACTCACTCATCACGCACATGGACGTGCGGCAGCGGCGGTGACGGACTGGGCCGCGGCAGTCGGTCGGATGGAGGAGCGTGCGCGCGCGTGTGCGCGTCTGTTTCGAGGCATCGATGCCGTTTAATCTGGACTTCAGTTGGTATAATGATCAGGAAGGAGGAGGGGGGCGGAGGAGGAGGAGGAGGTGCTGCTGCTGTCACCCACCGCCACCTCCGTCAGCGCCCCGCCTGTGAGGAAGAGGAGCCGCTCGGCTGCCGACGGAGTCAGTTGTCTGTGGAGGAGGAAAAGGCAGGAGGAGAAGGGGCTGTTAAAGGCCGCAGTTGCGGAGATTCATGTTCGGATGAGACGCAGAATTTCAGCGCGGACGCGGATTCTGCTGCGGAGGACGCGGCAGAGGCGGCAGAGGCGGCAGAGGCGAGCAGTGCGTCCCACCAAATGCAAGTGATTCGTCCACACTGCAGCAACAGCGACACCTGCAGCCCAACTCCCAGCTGCAGAATTTGCTTCCAGGGCGCCGAACAGGTAAGGGTAAGGACACACCTGAAGGTGGCGCCCAGTATTCACCTGGTCACCGATGAGCGCCCACCGCTGCTCCCGCCAGACTGAGAAAGATGAAGCTGAGAGTTGGTCAAAGAGGGATTGGTGATTGGCTGTTGTAGCTATTAGCATAGTGGAAACATTGTGAAACTACATCACCAAAGTCCATGGAGAAAATCAGAGATTTTAGTTCAGACCAAAGTCCATGGAGAAAATCAGAGATTTTAGTTCAGACCAAAGTCCATGGAGAAAATCAGAGATTTTAGTTCAGACCAAAGTCCATGGAGAAAATCAGAGATTTTAGTTCAGACCAAAGTCCATGGAGAAAATCAGAGATTTTAGTTCAGACCAAAGTCCATGGAGAAAATCAGAGATTTTAGTTCAGACCAAAGTCCATGGAGAAAATCAGAGATTTTAGTTCAGACCAAAGTCCATGGAGAAAATCAGAGATTTTAGTTCAGACCAAAGTCCATGGAGAAAATCAGAGATTTTAGTTCAGACCAAAGTCCATGGAGAAAATCAGAGATTTTAGTTCAGACCAAAGTCCATGGAGAAAATCAGAGATTTTAGTTCAGACCAAAGTCCATGGAGAAAATCAGAGATTTTAGTTCAGACCAAAGTCCATGGAGAAAATCAGAGATTTTAGTTCAGACCAAAGTCCATGGAGAAAATCAGAGATTTTAGTTCAGACCAAAGTCCATGGAGAAAATCAGAGATTTTAGTTCAGACCAAAGTCCATGGAGAAAATCAGAGATTTTAGTTCAGACCAAAGTCCATGGAGAAAATCAGAGATTTTAGTTCAGACCAAAGTCCATGGAGAAAATCAGAGATTTTAGTTCAGACCAAAGTCCATGGAGAAAATCAGAGATTTTAGTTCAGACCAAAGTCCATGGAGAAAATCAGAGATTTTAGTTCAGACCAAAGTCCATGGAGAAAATCAGAGATTTTAGTTCAGACCAAAGTCCATGGAGAAAATCAGAGATTTTAGTTCAGACCAAAGTCCATGGAGAAAATCAGAGATTTTAGTTCAGACCAAAGTCCATGGAGAAAATCAGAGATTTTAGTTCAGACCAAAGTCCATGGAGAAAATCAGAGATTTTAGTTCAGACCAAAGTCCATGGAGAAAATCAGAGATTTTAGTTCAGACCAAAGTCCATGGAGAAAATCAGAGATTTTAGTTCAGACCAAAGTCCATGGAGAAAATCAGAGATTTTAGTTCAGACCAAAGTCCATGGAGAAAATCAGAGATTTTAGTTCAGACCAAAGTCCATGGAGAAAATCAGAGATTTTAGTTCAGACCAAAGTCCATGGAGAAAATCAGAGATTTTAGTTCAGACCAAAGTCCATGGAGAAAATCAGAGATTTTAGTTCAGACCAAAGTCCATGGAGAAAATCAGAGATTTTAGTTCAGACCAAAGTCCATGGAGAAAATCAGAGATTTTAGTTCAGACCAAAGTCCATGGAGAAAATCAGAGATTTTAGTTCAGACCAAAGTCCATGGAGAAAATCAGAGATTTTAGTTCAGACCAAAGTCCATGGAGAAAATCAGAGATTTTAGTTCAGACCAAAGTCCATGGAGAAAATCAGAGATTTTAGTTCAGACCAAAGTCCATGGAGAAAATCAGAGATTTTAGTTCAGACCAAAGTCCATGGAGAAAATCAGAGATTTTAAGCAGTGCGTCCCACCAAATGCAAGTGATTCGTCCACACTGCAGCAACAGCGACACCTGCAGCCCAACTCCCAGCTGCAGAATTTGCTTCCAGGGCGCCGAACAGGTAAGGGTAAGGACACACCTGAAGGTGGCGCCCAGTATTCACCTGGTCACCGATGAGCGCCCACCGCTGCTCCCGCCAGACTGAGAAAGATGAAGCTGAGAGTTGGTCAAAGAGGGATTGGTGATTGGCTGTTGTAGCTATTAGCATAGTGGAAACATTGTGAAACTACATCACCAAAGTCCATGGAGAAAATCAGAGATTTTAGTTCAGACCAAACCTCATAGAGAAAATCAGAAATCAGAGATTTTAGTTCAGACCAAAGTCCATGGAGAAAATCAGAGATTTTAGTTCAGACCAAAGTCCATGGAGAAAATCAGAGATTTTAGTTCAGACCAAAGTCCATGGAGAAAATCAGAGATTTTAGTTCAGACCAAAGTCCATGGAGAAAATCAGAGATTTTAGTTCAGACCAAAGTCCATGGAGAAAATCAGAGATTTTAGTTCAGACCAAAGTCCATGGAGAAAATCAGAGATTTTAGTTCAGACCAAAGTCCATGGAGAAAATCAGAGATTTTAGTTCAGACCAAAGTCCATGGAGAAAATCAGAGATTTTAGTTCAGACCAAAGTCCATGGAGAAAATCAGAGATTTTAGTTCAGACCAAAGTCCATGGAGAAAATCAGAGATTTTAGTTCAGACCAAAGTCCATGGAGAAAATCAGAGATTTTAGTTCAGACCAAAGTCTGAGAAAATCACTGATCTCTCTGAACATTTTGTTTCTAAAATCTGAATTTCCATGGACTAATAAATCATTAGCTGTTTTCAGATCAGAGCTGCAGGGAAAATGTCAGAGTCACGAAGACTGAAACCTGACTCCAGTGTGTGATCAGTCTGTTATGGACGGCCGTACACTTCTCCATTCATCCATTGATTCATCTATTCATTCATCCGTCGTTCATCCGTCCGTTCATCCGTCCTCTGTGCCTCTGGCTCGGTCTAAGTGAACATCCTGTCTGGTGAGCGGAGACTTTAAGCCTGTTAGCAGAGATAATCTAATTCCCCGTGGGTCTGCAGGAACCGTTCTGACAGACGACGACCGTGGTGTGAGGAGAAGTGGAATACAAATTAAAAAAAGTTCCGAACACGTCAGACTAATGGAAGAACGGAGAAGCACGGCCAGTGACGTCCAAGTCAATGACTTCAGCTAACATCGGGAACTTTTCCCCTCAGCCATCAGAAGTTCTCCTTATGTTAAAAGAGTTCTTCACATGAGTAACGATGATTAAACGTTAGCCAAGAGCTAGCCGAATGTTAGCCCTGAATACAGGGAAAGGACAGAAAGACGGAGGAAGTATCGATGAGTGACGAAAACTGGTCCCTCTGCCACCGATTAATGATTTGAGGTCAGAGAGACACAGGATCTGTCCACTGCTGCCTCCTGTGGCCAGGTTGTGTCCCTGCGGTTAAACCTAACATCCAGGTTCAAACAATCAGTTCATTGAACCAGTTGTTGGGACTAACTGATGTGTTGGACCGACAGCTTCTGTTTTTAACTCACAGTGTTGAATTGTTTCCCTGGCAGGGGGCGCTGTTGAACCCATGCCGATGCGATGGCTCTGTGCGGTACACACATCAACACTGCCTACTGAAGTGGATCAGTGAGCGTGGCAGCTGGACCTGTGAGCTCTGCTGCTACCGCTTCCAGGTCATCGCCGTCAACATGAAGAGGCCGTGGCAGGTAACGCTAATGCTACAGCTAGCTGTGCCCGCGCCTAGGACGGAACAACGACATGAATTTTAATTGTACATCATTGATGGACTTAGCATCTGGCTAATTGTTTTAGTGAAACTCTTACTATTTCTGGGCTAACCTTTGGAAGGTTATTGACGGAGCTGTGTATTTGGCGTCTGATTTTTGGGTAATTTGAACCCAGTTATGAACTGAAGTCTAAATATATTTGTCAACTTTTCTTTCATTAATTTGAAACGTTTCAAACTGGCCACAGGAGGCACCAGTAGATCAGCTAAAATCTCTGATTTTCTCCATGGAAAATCATTTGGCTGGGTTAGGGTCAGGGTTAGGGTCAGGGTTAGGGTCGGGGTTGGGGTCGGGGGTCAGGGTCGGGTTCAGGGTCAGGGTTGGGGTCGGGGTTACGGTCAGGGTCAGGGTCGGG